GGCGGTCAGCCCGCATGCTCAGAGGCTGCTGTTTCAGCTGAGGAATTAATCAGTCTTCTTCCCTTTGCCTTTTCCCCGCCCCTCCGCAGGTCGCCGCATGCTGCCGCCTTGCAGGCGGCTCCTTTGCCGTGGCATCAGGCCCCTGGGCCGCTGGCCTTCCCGCTCCGCCATGAATCTCGGGGAGCTCGTGTCCGCCCTCAACGACTTCGCTTCCCTCTCTCTAGCCGAAAGCTGGGACAACGTGGGGCTGCTGGTGGAACCGAGCCCTCCCCACGCTGTCAACACCCTTTTCCTAACTAACGACCTCACGGAGGGGGTGATGGAGGAGGCAGTGCAGAAGAAGGCAGATCTCATCCTTTCTTACCACCCTCCCATATTCACGCCACTCAAGCGAGTAACGTGGAAGACCTGGAAGGAGCGGCTGGTGGTCCGCGCTCTGGAGCACAGAATCGGGATTTACTCCCCGCACACCGCGTACGACGCCATACCTCATGGAGTCAATAACTGGCTAACAAAGGGACTTGGTGAGGTTAAAGATTTTTCCAGTACTTCTAAGTACGCTAAGCTTATTTTAGAGAATTTATCTTGGTGAGATGTACCAGGTACAAATACCTGTGGACATTTTCAGATGCATGCTTGCGCTACTGGATGTAGTTAGAGCTGGTGCAGCATGTTTATTGCATACCTTGATTGAAGAGTTTAAACTGCTGACTTTAAATCACTGACACTGATTTATAAAGTGCAAAGTCTAGTAGTTCCCACAGCACTTTAGATAGCTGAAATCCTTTAGATTTTTATTCTGTGTTGTAGCTCATAAATGAAAACAGCTATGTTTTTTCCAGCCTGATTTCCAAACCAGAAACTTAAAATTTTATGTGCATTTTTTAGGGGAGAACTTGAATGGCTTCAAGAAGGTACAAATAATATATATCCATCAAGGTATCTGCACTTAGAATAGACTGTGCCCAATGAAGACAACAGGGCAAGAGGCCCTAGTTCTGGTCATGGAAAATGGATTCAGATGCAAAATTTGCTCAAAGTTGCATCCCTTTTGGATATGTCACTAAGCATTTTCCATTTGTCACTTCTCCCTCTGTTAAATCAGCATAAGGATACTAATCCAACTTTACAGCGAAGCAAACCTTGTGTGCTGTTTTCTCAGGAGCCTGTACGTCCGTCCCACTGCATCCATCGGCTGCTCCAAGCTATCCAGCGGAGGGCACCCACCGGGTAGAATTCTGCGTAGACAACGGTGAGCATCTAGAGACACTGCTGTCCAAAATCAAAGGCATCCCAGAGATCTCCTCTGTCACTACTCTCCCCGCCAGGTATCTGCTTCACTCTCTAATGTTGTCTTCTTTCTGTTGCTTGAAAGAATACATTGCCAGAACTGTATTTTACCATTGTAGTCATTTTCTTCCTCTGTGTCTTGCTGCTATTCTTTCAGAAAAGATCTAGAAGTTCACAGGATAATTATTCTTTTCTGATCAGTCCATGTGAGGTTATACTAAATGGTAACTAGCAACTCAGTGTAGCATCACATGGACTAGAGATGGTAAGGAAGAGTTGTAACAGGAAATTCAATGAGGACAGTTGAGTTAAATTTCCATATTTGTTTTTTCCATAAGAGTAGGCTAGACTATTACCTTGTCTCCTTTTTCCCTTTCTCTGTGATAGAATGGCTTTATATTCTGTTAACACGATGCTGAAATTTTATCTGTTTTCCTAGCAAGCCCAAAATATATCTTTCCTCAGGGTTGAAGGTGAAGAACAAACACGAGTCAGTTTAAACTGCTCTCAGAAAGCACTGCTGGAGGTGGTGGCATTATTGTCCAAGAACAGCCTTCTTTATCACAAGACTGAGATTTTGTTATTAGAAAAGGTAAAAAAAAAAAAATGCAGTGAATGTGTTACTTGCGTGAGCTGACTGCCGTAAAGACTGAAATCTAATAGTCATCACAGTTTTCCCATGCTACCTGTCAGTGCTCTGAAATACTGGCCTGTGGGGATTTGAAACCACACACATTTTTCAAAACAGTGAAAATATCTGCGTGACCTGTACTAATTCTTAAAACGATTCCAATAGCTAGCGAAGTTACTTCTTTACATTCTAGAACATCATGTATATGTTTCTTTTGCAAAGTTCAGATGACTTCATTCTTAATACCCAATATGCTCACCTTTCTATAGTTATGAAAAGCAACGTGAGCTTCTGGAGTCAGCTTTCTCAGAGTAATTTTAATTTCTCTTCTCTTCAGCCTCTTCTTCCACATACTGGAATGGGACGTCTGTGCACATTGAGTGAGCCAGTCTCCTTGTTAGCCATAATCGAGCGTATTAAAAGGCACCTAAAATTAACCCACATCCGCCTAGCTGTGGGAATGGGGAAGACACTAGGTAAATAAGCTTGCAAGTTTGACTGGACATTAAAACTAGTGTTCCAGGAATATGAAGAGAGTGAATGCGTGTGTGGGTGTGTGAAATACTGCTGCTTTGAACAGGTTTGCTTCCCAGTAGTATGAAGCACGATTAAAGAGACAGCTTTTTAGAATTTATGTGATACCGTCACACACAAAAATGTTATCTGTACTTCTGGCTACAAGTTCTGCATTATGCTGGTTGTCACTGCGGAGGAAGGGCAGCACAAGCTGAACGTGAGACATCTTTTTTCATAATTTGCCTAATATGACTAAGACTTTTTTCCCCAAGATTTCAGACACAAATGCCTATCACTTTACTCCCTTTTGTGACTGAATGTTAAGATGCAAAGCACCTTAAAATAATAAGATGCTTTATAGTATTCTTACAAACCTGTAGCTATCCATGTTTCACTGAAAGAGGAATAGGAGAAGAGAAGTTAGCTACCCTAGGTCAAACAGTGGGTCAGCAGTAAAACCTGGAGCAGAGGTCCTCTTACTGCAGTTATCTATCCTAATCTCCAAGGAACACAGCTATTAGAATCTGTGAGAGCAAATTTGTTCACACCTTTTTATAAAAATGTCCTCAGGAGAGAGAAATCTTCTTAGAAGCCTCTGATACTACCAATTACATTAAAACAAAAACCTTTATTCTGAAGCTGCTCAGTGTTCTATGGGATTGCAGTAGAGTGACTCCACTTAAATCCACAGTAATTGCATGGCAACTTACTGTAAAACTGGAATACACTTTGAAAATTCTTCTCTTAATTCCACATGCTGTATTGAACTTAAGATACACGGAGAATTAAATTTACTGTCATTTTTAACGTACCTATTAGACTGGAGTCAGCAATCATGGCAAATGGGCACATTTTTAATGGCATAGAGCAGCTCTCAGCTTGCACTGAGATTGGACTTCTGTGAGCTAACAGTTAGGAGCAAGTATATCTCATAAGACAAAATGCTGCCTTTGTGGCATCCTTAGTTAGGAAAACAAATACAGTGGAACACGATAGTCCTGGAAACAGTAGCAGCCTATGAAAGGATTCAGAAACCTAATGATTAACACCTCACTAGGAGAGAATTAAGCCACAGTGGCCAGCAGCCAGCCCTTGTGCTGTATTTTTCTGCAAAAGCTCCTGCCCCTTTTTAAAAAAAACTACGTATCTTTTTGGCAGGCAGAGGATTTTGCTCTCTTATCAGAAATGTTTTTGCCCATGTCAGTCTTTCCAACTGACAGATCTGTCTCTTTTTCCAACAAATTTGCATTGACACTAAAATTAGGGCAATAGTTACTGCAAAACAATTAATAGTAATACTGGCACGAAGGCTGAACAGAGGGAAGGGAGTTCAACTGTGGCACCTTGTATCCTGCAGAATCGCCAGTGAAGAAAGCTGCTCTATGTGCTGGTTCTGGAAGCAGTGTCCTGAAGGGGGTGGAAGCTGACCTCTATCTCACAGGTAAGAGATTATGTTGCTGCTTCCTTATCTTTATAAAAGTAGTCACTAGGAAGAAAAAAAAAAAAAAGAGTTGACTGGCTGTTTAAAGATTTGGCCAGAATAACTTTATATAATTGAGAAATAATCAGTCATTGGAATGATAGAAGAGTAAGAGCAAAGTCGAGGTAACATGCATCAGATAGCTTTGTGGCACAGTGAAGGTTATTTGACGTAAAACGTTGTGTTATATATGTGCATTATTTAAACACAAAATCCGTGTTTGATAGCAGAGTCTATTTCAACTTGTGTGTTTCAAGTGCATTTTTCCTTTGGCAACATAAAACGTATTTCCTCAGTTCCCTACAGAGTTCCCTAACGGAAAATGGAATGTAGTGTCGTCTACAGAATCTTCCAAGGGAAGATGCGTAACAATTGCCATACTGTATTTGACCAAAGAGTCCCTTAGTCAGTTAACCTATTTCTGACAGTGGGACGGTACTCCTCACAGCTTGCTTCATGATGCAAGGGGTGCCTAGTATTCTGCAGTATTTCATTTGAGCGATTCCTTTAGCAAGGCAGGTCCTATCTTCCCCTTACATACGGCCCTGCAGAGGTGACCCTCAGCCCCCTTCTGCATGAAGTTTCCCCAGTACTGCCCTCCATCCCTGCAACCCACTTGAGTTGATGCGTGACAACCAGACAATCCACCTGCAAACCACTCTGCACACTCTTATTTCCTGCCCAAAGTGGCAGAATCTACCACTGTTTAAAGAGGGCAAGGAATTTGTGTGGCTTTATCTCAACTGTACAGTAGGGACATAGGCCAAAAGTCCTTCATGGGGCACAGTGGGTTTACAATATTCTCTGCAAAATTCTGACCTGTCTTTCCTAAAATGAGGAGTGTGCCGTACTCTTAACAGAGCCAAATGTACTGCAGTCCCCCTTATGAGCTTCTGGCGTCTTCCCCTGTTACACCTTCATAGCTTCTAGCTAAGACTGTGCATACATTGCAAAGGACTGGTTACCTCAATCTGTACTGTTTGCAATCTACATGGCATTTCTTTCTCAAAATGGCAGGAGAGATGTCCCACCATGACGTTCTGGATGCTGTTGCCAATGGGATAAGCGTTATTCTGTGTGAGCACAGTAACACTGAACGAGGCTTCTTGTCAGAGCTGCGTGACACACTAGCTATCCATCTACAGAACAAGATCAACATAATTGTGTCTGAAAAAGACAGAGATCCCCTCCAGGTGGCATAGAAAAAAAAACCAGGAGCGACAGTACGCAGTCAAGAATTTCACAGTATTTTGCACAGACCCATCCAAATGTAAACTTAATTAAGATACTCTGAATTTGTTCAGTTTAGAATTGTATTACGCGCTCCAAAGTTTTGGATATATATAGTCATCTATCAGAAAAATAATAATTGCACTAATGAAGGCTAGTTTACTCAACTATCAGGCTGCGCTCAAATAAAGTTACTCTTACTAATTACTCTAATTATATATATTTGAAAACCATAACATCTAAAGCATTGGTTTGTATACGCTATAAAAACCTGATTTATGCTCCATTTTTAAGGTAACGCAGCAGTTCTGTCCTACTGGAGCTACATCTAATTGTGTCAGTACAAGCCACTGATATTTTAGCTGATAAAGTCTCATGATAATAGTTAATGAAAGAGTATGGATCATTGATTTGCATTATCAGTTTTATTAGGGAACACTCATATACAGATATAGAACACGATTCCGGTATTTGGTACTAGTATTTAACTGCAAAATCTACCATTAAGGCAACTTTTAAGGCTTCTTAATAGAGCGATTCCCTATTGAAGAAGCTTTGGAAGATTATAACTCATTTCCTTAACCATACAACAGATGAATTTAATATGCATTTGTTACTTTTTTTAAAAAACAGTTTATAGACCTATGGCTCCTTTAATTACAGGATTATAAAAGTGAACAAGTGTTATCTCCACCATCCATAATGCTTGGGTTTTATATCAAGTTAGTTTCTGAAAAGGAAAAATCTACCAGCTGCATTATCTTACGATCTGTAGATATGTGCATATCAGAATATTAAAACAAACTAAAAATACTTCTATCGCAAACTTGTAAAGATCTTGGCAACATCATCCTTTTAAGTGTAGTTAATAAAACTGGCTCATTTAGCAATGTCTTTATCATGCGGCACAAAGCAACTCAGTGCATTAGAGTCCTATGCAAACCTAATTTAGGACTTTGTCTCAGGACTGCAGGAAGATTTAGTTGCAGTGGCTAAAATCATTAGAATTCCAGGTAATATTTCCCCATAACTTAGACATCTCCCTCTTTCCTTTGGCTAAGGAAGGGTAACTAAAGACCATGGCCTTCCCCAGCATAAACAGTATTACTAGCACTGCCCCAGTGAAATGCCTAGAAGACACTGCACTATCAAACTTTTCCCAGTGCACCTGGCATTGAGGCCGTTTTGTAGGCAGTGTCTCCAGGACTTTGATGTGATTCTGTGACTAAAGGCTTATCACCACAAGCTGTACTTTAATACAACTTAAGCACGCTAGTGAAGCATTTTAAGCCCCCTCTTTTGCACATTACTTTGCCCTCTTGTGCAATGTTCTTTAAATTAATTGGAATCATGTAATTAAACATTATCTTTGGGCAACGTTCATAGTAGTAGACAGTGTTGCCTCAGCCGGAATCAGTGCTTATGTTGTAATTTTTCTAGTAGAAAAAAAAAAGGATTAATTCTGAGACACTATAATGCAGATGATGCTTTAACTAAAAATAAGTGCACGTCTTGTTCTGGTTGTATTTAACTGGAAAGAGGTGAGTAACTCTAGGATTATCAATACCATGAGTACCTCTAAGTAAGCTGAGAAACAGGCAAAGGTAGGGTTCAGAAGGATAAGAAATGTCTTCTTGCTCCAGTAAAGGAAAGAAGAAATGTCTTCTTGCTGCAAAAGACATTGAAATGCTACCAGACCCACACCGAAGAGCTGGTATCCTTAGTACATACACAGAATGAAAGAGACAGAAAATTAATGCATAGATGGGGCAGTCATCCAGGAACAGCACAAATTCAAACTGAAACATTTTAACACAAAATCCACAGGAATTAATTCACAGTAATTTAGCCTGCATGATTGCATCACAGTCAGCGACAGCCAAGAAATGATTCAAAGTTAACCTTTTCTTAGCAGATGGGTGATAACTCCTGCAGCCCTGTTCCTGGCCTGCTTGGACATTTGATAGTCTACCAAAACTCTTAGCTAATAAATTAATAAATCTAAAGTCAGGCTGACTACTGCACTGTGTTCAAGTAAATTTCACATCTAGAAAACCTGATTTAATTACACTGAAAATGTGCAATTCCATCACTATCTATAAACACATTAGGCAGTGTCTTCCATATGTATTCAAAATATAAATTAAATCTCAAGTTACAGAAACTCCAGAGAGAGTCACTGTCACCGCAAAGTAGGAAGCGGCTACTTCTTGGCTACGATACTTTTACGTTTCTCCAACAACACATCTCTTCCGGCAGCAGAGTACTGGTACTTTAACTCTGAACCTAACTTGTACTTTAACTCTGAACCTAACTTAGAGAATTTGGGTAAGACGCAATGCCTTGACCCCTGTGCCCAGATGTGTAAGTTTTAATGGTTCTGACATTAGCATAAGTAGTGGTAGGCTGTTGCATTTTGTGAAGTTTTGGGTTAGCAGGCTGTAAAACACAGGTGCAAGCGCCATCAAAAGAGAATGTTAGTTGGAAGAGGTTTTAGGGCAGGAAACTGGAGGGTGCTGCTGCGATGCTTGCTGGCATGTGCCGCTTTTCCCCGCCAGACCCTCCAGTAAAGCTAATTAGGTATTCTGTTTGAAGAATCAAATTGATAGTGAGATTAGCAGATACTTTGTTTTCAGCACAAACAAAAGTTAGGCTGTAAACCTGTTCTGTTGTTTCTGTCAGTGAGGGATAGGCCAGGTAACACTGGGAATACAGGTAACGATATTACTACATGTAATGTTTTGGTTCTTTTCAAAAGCTATATACTGGTATTAAAAATCAGGCAAACTATTTTTAATTTTCGTACCTTAGAAGAAACAGTATAAAATACTTCTGCTGGTTAGTTTGAAATCATCTGCGTGCTGCATGAAGATCTGCATACTTTTGACATAACGGTAATAATAGTGAAAATGAGGCTTTCACATTCACACAACTGCCAGAAGACTATCTGTCTTCCTACAAAATAAAAAGATTTGTGGAAGACAACACAGGCTAATGAAAATTAATAAAGTACTTTATTTGACTGATTTGAACTATTACAACATTGAGCTGTAACACAGCTACCAAATATTAGACACGCATTGTTCAAGAGTCCCTGAAGTCTGGCTGGCAGACTATAGTTGACGGAACTGTAGGGCTTACTCCCACATACCTGAGAAACACAGTGAAGAAAAGCTGTGAAACTTCAGCAGTCTCCCAGCCTCTAAGGGCTACAAAAAGGGAGCGCTTTTAACTGGCATTTAAGGCCTCCTCCAGGATCAGTGGACATTCCTGACGCAAAAAACACATGCATGCAAGCAAGCAAGCTTTTTAAAAATAAACAAATCAGCTCCACAGTCTCTTTACATTCCTGGATATCAAGCTGGAACGTAGATGAAACAAGATGGATTCGCTCACTCTCACCCAGAGGCAATGATTCAAGCCCAACACAATTTCTATTACCTAAGTCCTCCGGCAAAAGGATATGAGTCTGGGGAAAGACCTTTGCTTCTATTGCCAGAATTTAATAAGTTACCCACAATATCCCAAACCCACTACAAGTCTCATTTCCTTGTGCAGTCAAGGCAGGTCTCTTAGCATTGTAAATCTCGGCTTCTTCATACGCTGGAAGACAGTCCTGTCTAACTGGAACAGGGAGTACTGGAAAGCACTCAGCCATGAAAAGTTGAATCACTAGTACAAAATAAAGCTCTGATGGTCTAGTGGTTTGCACTTCCCAGGTGAACTGCTCCAACAAAACCCTCATGTCTGGTGAGGTAATGAGCAGAAGGCACAATCTTACTGAGTGAGTTTTCCTGACTGTAAGGTTGGCTGCATAGATAATGAAGAAGGCCTCATCTGAGCTAACAGACAAAGCAGACAAATCTAACTACAGAGCAAGAGATGCCTTGCTTACGGAAGTCATCGTTCCAAACTACATGAAGTAGTTGAACAATGAGCACCAAAACATTATTATATTTCAGCGAGTAGTCCAGCAGCTTTGGGGTTGGAGGGAGAGAGATCTGAGTATAGACCCCTCTCCAGCAGCCCTTGAAAGCAATTGCCATAGACGCTTTGGGAACAGAGAGACGTTATATATCTTCATCTTCTTTCTCTAAGAAGTCAGTCAAGGTACTGTCATCTACAGGAATTAATAAGTATTCCACACCATCAGCTCCCTGAGAACAGACACACATACACATTCTGTTAACACTGGTGCACGCTGCAATGCAAGCCACTAGATAGCACTGCAACACTGGCATTTACTTGCAGTGTGGGTGAGAGCTAGCCAGCATTCAGAAGGGCTACAATGCTAAAACCAGGAATATTTCACTAGAGCAATGCTGGAAGCGCACAAGCACAGGGAAGAGTCAAAGCTTCTGGTGGGCTATGCTGTTCTTCCACTACGTAGCTCCTCAGCACTGTGCTCCCAGATTTAGTGCTGGTATACTGCCTCATTATTAGGGCTAGCCTACACTCTTCAGTCCTGCAAATACAGGTAACTAGAGGAAGCAGACTGACAAGCTCCAGGAGCCTGTCACTTCTCAAGGTCTTCAGGAAGCTGTGTTCCACAAAGCCCGGTAGGCTGCTAAGTAACCAAACCACATTGCAGCCTGCTATTCATGTAAAGGAAGTTCACAGGCTGGAGGCACGGGAGGAGCTGCCATTACAGAATTCCAACCCTCTGCGAGTGCCCAGGTGCTTCAAGCAGTCCAGCCTCACTCAAGAGCTGAAGGCTCTTGAAGCCTCAGGGATACTTAGTAGCAAGCAAATAGCTTTTTGTTTAAGATAGCTGTATCTCCAGAATTATCTTCTTCCTGCAACTCACCCGCTTGGTCCGGATGAGCTTGTGGTCCCTGAATTCTGTCAGCTGTGCCCTGAGTGTCAGATCACTGTTCACGAGGAATGCCTCCCGACACTGCTGGTAGAAGTCTTGGAAAGAGAGCCCTGGAGACAGAAAAGGGCGAGGACAAGAAAATGAAGTGGTCAAATTCTGAAGATCCACTGCTTCTTCCCAGAGCTGTTCAAAGAGCATCTTCTCCCACCCCTTGCATCAGGCAAGCACTGTCTGACAAGTGTTTTAGCAGGATATGAGGGAATGCAGATTTAGAAAATCTCTTAAAAAGTGAGATATAGAAAACCTGTTGCATTTCAAACTGATCACAGATTCAAAACAAAATTCTGATCAACATTTCATGCCCTGGTACGGCAGCCTTATTTCAAGGATACGCAAGACTTTCTTGAGGTCTGGAGTACTTACAGACCCCGACAGCTTGTCTAATTTTTCCACATCTAACAATGGATATTACATCACGTCTACCTACAAATCTTGCTTTCGCTTAGACCACAAAGGATACAGCAACATCACCACTTGTTTCAAGTACACAACTGAGCCAATATTTCATAAATTCAAGTAAAAATGTAGATTAAAGTTCTGGTCACTATTTGCCTAATAGAAAGTTTAATGGCACTTTAAACACACTTCTCAGCACGGTGATTCTATCTCCATTTCCAACCCCTCTATTTTACTTCCATCTTTCTTTATGATTAAATGCTGCTCATGTCACCTGCAATTGCTGTTAAGAGACAGTGGCAAAATAGTCTGCATGTATCCTCGAATGCAGGGACACACCAGAAAACACTTAGATAGGAGCAGTGTGGAAACAGAAGCTTCTGTCTTTCCCTGGTCCCGTACACGCTAGAGTTACGCAAGTTCAAATTCTTCCTTTATTTTAATTTTGTAACTCCACAGTCTCCCACAAAGGCTATCAGTCACGACTAAATAGCAAAGCAGACAACAGTAAGAGACGGTCCTTTGGAACCTGCTAGTTTCTGTTAGAGGCAGATACAGCACCACTAGAAGACAGCCTATGCCACTGAGTCTCACTGAGCCAGCAGTTAGAGCACTTCTGTTGCTGGTGTTGCAATCTGGATACCAAAAGCCAGTGTCCACTGTGACTGAACTGGCAGTGATGCCACCCCAAGCAGACAAGAAAAGGTGCTTACGTACCTGGGTAAGATGGGTTCTCCTTGTTCTCCAGCTGGTATTGGGCAAGCAATCTGAATATCCCCCTAGGTGGGAGAAGGAGAGGGGAAACCAAAAGAAGGCAGCCCAGCAGAAAATATTAACTGATTTTTCCCTCATGAAAGGACTTTGTGCATGCAGCTAGTGACTTGGTGAGGCCGGCTATCCAAGCTCTGCCCCTTTAAAGTAATAAATTACTTAGAACCCAGGTCACATTGTCTTTATCTTAAGAACTGTTTTCAGAAGACAAGGCTTGCCTCTTGCTACGAGTATGCCCAAGAGCTAACACAGAACTTGGGACCAGACTAATCCAGTAAGGACTGGAGGCTCACAAGGTGCTGCTATGAAGTATAACAGTGTCTTACCTGGCATTGGGAGTGAGACTGCGCAGGACGTGTGTTAAGGAGCTCAAAGCCAAAGATCCAGACTGCTGTACTAAAAGTGAGTTCTCATAAGAGGTTTCTTCCACATAAGGACTAAATGTGGTTGTTTCATACCAAAGCCAGTTGTAGAGGCTTTGTTTTGCCTGATCCCACACTAGACAGAGAGAGGAAGGAAAAAGCAGACAGAAGTGGGAGATTTACCTTTTCTCAGGCATTAAATAAGCAATATTAAAGTGTAGTTCGTTCCACTGTAGGGTCTGAGAAAACAATATAGTCTTGTGGAATTTACAGTACATTCATCCACACACTTGCACTTCAAGCCGGACAAGTTCTCTGCAACAGAGCACTTGCACGTCTCTCCTATTTATACTAGCTTCACCGATATGCTGTAAATCATGCCAGCATCAGCAGTGGGCCAACAGGTTAAAAGGTTAAACAAGGTTTAGATAAATTTCTGGGTAAGAAACAGAATGGTTCAGATGCAATAACAGATATAACATCCAATCTCCATTTCAGGAAGTCCCTAAAGCAAAGACTGCCAGAAGCCTGGACTCTATTCATGTTCTCAGTGACTTTATGCACTTTCGGTTCAACAGGGCCCCACTCCTAATCACAGCTTCTAGCTGCTTCAGCCAGACATACATCACCAGGTCTATTTTGCACATCAAGTGTGATGCAGGACATATGCTTTTGTGACATATTGTGACAGCAGCCCCAGAGTAGAATGCAGATTCTTCTCTTTTTGCTACAAAGAACATTAGGCCAAAGGGTACTCACTGAGAGGAGCGTTGATGTGATCAACAGAGGCAATGAAGTAAATGCTAGGCAGAGAAGATAACTGTGCAAGGATCTGCTGACTTCTTTCTCCTCTCAACATTTGGCTGTCCAAGTTATGAATGAGGACATAGAGCTCTAAAGATGCATCTGCAACGTCAGAAAAACAGCAAAGAACAGATCAAAGGAACTGCACACAAAGTGGTTTCTCGCTCCCAGTGCGGCCTAGGACAAGTCTATTTCATCATGCTCACCTCCGTTTTCATCATTCCAGTATCAAATGACTTTCCTTATACAGTTTACTTTGACTCCTGCCCCACATTTAGGGTTTCTGAGCACGTGAAAGGCTTTCTCTCAATTCACTGTACTGCAACTCTCATCACAACTACTGTTCTTTCTGCAGCTCAAGCTTTTCTCTCGTAATCCACTTTTCACTTGCTCAGTGCTTCATCAGGAATTGCCCTGTCAATGGCTTTTAGTCCTGAGATTCAAGGTCGTTCAACTGTATTTTAGGAGGGAAGTCTAAGCACAGTTTTTTCAGTTGCTTTTGGGGTACATGACTAGGATCCTTAAACTCCTCCTCACACACTGAAAACTTATTTTCTGTTCAAGAGTGGATCCAAGGTATACTGACTTCATTAGAAATTTTTCCTGCTGCGCCCTCTTAGAAATTTTTCCTGCTTAGCCCTCGGGGGAACCAACAAAGACTTTTAGCATGGATAACGCAAACGGTAGACATTAAAAGTTCCAACTTAGCTTGTTGCTGCTCTTAGTTATCCCCAGGGAACAGCTGCTTACTGAGCCCTGAAACAATTCTGGAAGAGTAGGCAGCTTTTTTGCAGAAAGCAAATACATATTTGGCTACCGATGGAAACTGACGGTTCCACAGACTCCCAGTCAGATCAGCTATAGTGTAGTACACATGAGACTGATTTATGTGGATTCAAGTGGAGACTGTCATTAATCAGTCTTTTCCTCTTATTCCCCCTAGAAATACACAAAAGATAATGATGGAGAATGGAGTGTAAACTTTTGAACACAATCCCCTGTGCAATTAAGAGTCTCAAGGCAATTTGTGTATGTACACACACACACAAGCAGTACAACCTATACATAGAGAGAATTCAGCAAGCATTCTGTATGGTGGTTATCAGTTTAATTTTGAATCCATTTCTAACCTGCCTGTTCAACACTGCAGTCCTTTATTTCATCTTAATGTCTGAATTTGTATATATTAAACTGAAATGACCATTCCACTAAACTATGTGCACTTAAGCCTCAGCACAGTGTCTACTGAAATTTACGGAAAGACTCCCAGGCCAGGATTTTCCAGAGGAGCTCAAAGGACTTGGCATCCATCAGCAACTGCCATTCCAAATTGTTTGCAAGTTCTTCATCCTGTTTATTTCAGTCAGGTTTATTTATATCAGGTCCTCAAGCAGTCACTAAGAACCACCTTCCCCCATGTATCAGGGGGTTGACCTATCTTCCACCAAGAAACATGTGGCTACACTGTATATGTAAAGCACAAAGGCACTGTGCTGAATGCAAGAGAGATGAGCATTTAAGTTTGCTGAAGGGACGAGGAGCCTCTGTATTATTACAATGTTCATGCTCTCCTCCTTCCGTTTCTAGGAAACTTTGTGGGTGAAAAACACTGACAGAGGCAATGGCTTGGGGGCATGTATACGTGTATACATATATTCCTCGTGCATATACGTTTTCAGAAGTGGCATAAACTTCAAGACAGCACATACATTGAGTACAACAGAATAAGACGCTGTAACTGTCTGTTTGAAAACTGTGAGATAAGAACATGCCCAGGCTTTCCTAACAGCAAGTGGAGTCTACTGTTTTTATACATAAGGTCAGTCATTTTACCTTCTTTAAACCTTTTTATGATGAATTCAAGTTGGTCAAGGGGGCTACGGAACGTCCCAGTATGGTCCAGTACTTCCTCCGTGATGGAGTTCAAAATCTGGAACAGAAAATTGCAGAGTCACCATTGTTTCTTCAGAAGGCTCTGGCACTGATTGACCTACTGCAGAAAATCTGAAACTTAGCCTTTGACTGTCACGAGGAAAATAATCTGATTTTTACCATCAAATCTTGAAACCAGTCAACACAAGCCTAAAATTGCTACCCTTCTTCAAAACAGTGGCATAAAATAAGACTTTAGACTGATGAGTATATATTAATGACTGGAATCACAACTCCCGGGAAAACGCATGGGCTAATTTCTTTAAACTCTTAAAAAAGAGATGGGAGCTGCTCCTCATTCAAGAGTCTGTTAGCTATAGGCTGCAGGCAGCTTTCCTTAGAATTTGTATTGAAAGATTTTTTTGGTACTTATAACACAGGAAGATTAGAAAAACCCATCAGCTTTTACCACACTTACTGATCTCACAGTGATGCTGGGGAAGTATCCATTAACCACAAGGTGAACAGAATCCTGGAGCACAGAGGTACGAAACTTCTCCAACAAATCCCGCTTTGAGCCCAGTCCATAAAGCACAATATTGAAACCCAAGCTGTGGACAAGTGAGCAAATACAGTAAATCAAAAAAGTGTCCAAGTCCCTCTTAGGTTCATCCATCCCCATTTTCATTAAGCAAAATGACCTAATTCAATCTCGCCTCTTAAAATTTCGTGTTTCTAGGGAACTCAACAACTCCAGGCTTACCTTCAGCTCACAGCTGACAAAGAAGGTCAGCTGCAAGGAATCAGAAATACAGCATCCTAGCAAAAGAAAGTGTTTTAGCAGGCTAGGAAGCCCACTATGTAACAAAATATCTACAGAACAAAATGGTATTGTCCAAGAATTCTATAAGACTATAGCTCTACATCTTCAAACAATGAAGACCAGAATAACATTTGAATTTACCCCTTCACCATGTGATTATATTGAATATTTACCACGGGTCACAGCAATTACAAGAAAAAAAGCAAGCATGCTATCCACTTGCAAGGCAGGTTTCTACTCTGATCCACAGGCACAGTTTCAAAGCAAAATGCCACTGTTCTCATACTTCCTGCTTTATCCTAATTGTCCCATTGAAAAAGAAGCAGGAAAACACAAGAGAGTGTGGTAGCAAATCACAAACCTTTGTTTCCTTTGGAGGAGTGAAGAAGCACCATCTTGACCAGAAAGACTGGCAGGCCGCTCCAGCAGCCAGAATGGGGCAAGATACCAAGGTGAGGTGTCACTGACTTCAGCATCATCTCTGGATTTGTCCCTTTTATCCTGCCACATATATCTCTAGCCATTTTCCCAGGTCATTGAGTCACAGAGAACTCCTCCTCCAACAAGTCTCTGACTTTTAAGGTTACCGTCTTTTTCATACACACCATTGCTCCCCATGGAGCACAAACTCCTCTTTGTACTCCACTCCTTTGCAGAGCTTCTGAGGGGCTTTCTGCTCATCAACATCTGCTCCTGCCTCAGCACTTAACTTCAAAGCTGGTGCCTTGTCTTCTCTAAGGCACGCCAGAGTCTCATAGCTCTCTATACTTCACTATTTATTTTCTTAGAAGACTATTCTTTCCACTAACATACACACAATCCCAGACAAAATTTAGGCTGCTAAGGTTTCCAACAGCATTAAGATTTCTGCTTGCCTAGAGCATTAGGTACTACAGATGCTCAAAGTTAACACCACTGCCACTGGGGATGGCCATATACTGAAGAAAATGGTGATAGGCTACTCATTAACCAGACTGCTGTAAGCAAAATTGTTTCTACGTCAACAGCACTTTTCTCATCCTTCAAGTTCCCTCTATTGTGAACGCCCTCTAGCTTGGTTTACAGAGGTACAGACAAACTAACCAGTCAGAATGCAACCTTGTTTCACTTCAGGCATTCAGTTCAAGGAGTCAGTCAGGTATGATCTAAATTAATGACACCTAATTTTAAACATGAGCACTAGATTAAGGAAAAGATCATTCCTTAACTCGTCCACAGAATGATTGTTGGCGTGAGGGGAAGTTTACTGCCACTCTCTGTTTACTTGGCTTCTTCAGTGATTCTCACTGTGTACTTACTGTAACTGCAGCATCCACTTGGAAAACAGGGACTCATGCTGTTGGTTTAGCTCTTTAATTTCAGCAGCAAAGGCAAGGGGAGCTTTTTTCAAGAGGTCACGCAGTGTTTCCTGTATTAAGAAAGAGAAAACAAGACAGTTTTTCAAAGCTGAGAAAGGCAGGACAGATGTCTGGAGTCCTTACAAATACTCCTCTAGCATGCTTTCTAGCTAGGGATCAGAACGGTTTTCACTGACAGTGCACTCAACTCCTGCTTCCCTGTGAAGACCCCTGGGAAAACTCTTAAGCACGGTTTTGCTGATGAATAAACAAAGCAAAGAGCAATTAAACTTCTTATGGAAAAGAGTAGCCAGACTAGGACTAGAACCAAGATTCCTGCCTGTATCACACCATATTTTATCTCTTCCTGTTGAGTCTGGGAACACCACTCCTGAAACAACAGACACATTCAGAGCTTTCACAGTACCAAGCACTGTACCAGAAAGATACCAAGACCACAACTCTGTTCAAAGGAGCAAGGGTTCCAGTCAACATGCTTAGCGATGGTTCATATGTTTGTCACTACAAGAGAATGCTCACAGACACCTTTGAAGAGAAATACAAATACAGCAGAAAAGAAATAATGTGCAGCTGAAAGCTAAATGTAGAAAAAGCACTATTTCAAAATCATTGAGAATCAAAGGATTAATTCAGCTTTAAAGGCGCGCTGGAATGTTGATATTTAACCAGCACTGCGGCATCACAAATGGCATCAGAAAGGCAAGCCTTTCACTGTCCTCCCTTTCTCTTCAATTTTAACAGCTTTGCTTTCTACTCCCTTGCAGAAGACAGTTTACCCTAGAAAGAACACAAAAGGCAGCTGCAATGTTTCAGACAAACATAAAGCACTGAGAGATAGAACTGCCAAGCCTTCAGCTTCTCTGGTGCCAGTAGTAGATTTAATACTGAAAGCCTTGATTTCCCTCCAGAGCTGTTGTGCAAAAACTTGTTAAGAGTCCAAATGTTTCTCTGTGTAGTAATTTCAGACAACAGTAGGCATCAGGCAATCTGCATATAGGCTGTCTTTTAAAACACAAATGAGTACCACCCCCCCCCCAAAAAAAAAAAAATCACAGACAAGAGGGCATTACGTGTATTTTACGTGTTCCCTGGCACCAGTCGCTGTGTACCTAGGCTCTCTAGGGTGCAACTACTTGCTTGAAACTAGCTGTGAAAGTGGCATTATGGAAAGCAATAATCCAGCAACTCACCACCACAGTTAGACAGTTCCTGTCTCCTAGGAACTGGAACAGGATGAAGTGCATTTCACAAACTAGGTGACAGCATTTAGAGCTGTCCCATCCTGCATGGGGCTTGACCCAGTAATCCATAGATGAAAAAGGATATCTCCATCTCCTTTACACATATTGGCCTAATATAATCAAGATGGTTTGCAATCCCCCTGCCCATTTCATTCACAAAAATGCTGGTTTGGTGTTAATTTTAAATGCAGGCCTCTACCACTCTGCTTCTCCCTCTTTTCCTCCCCCAAAAGCCAGCTTTAACCTGTTCTATCAACTGCAACTTTCAGCTATCTACTCTAGCAGTGCTTTGTCCCTGCCTTTTCCCTGCTGTCTGAGGGATTAACAACCCGCTGTCACTGCCCTTGCTCAGGAGCAGCAGTAGGAGACATGATGCTTAAAACGCTGGCAACTCTCTGCCTACCCCAGGGTTACCACCAAGAACGCCTTCAGCAAAGATAGACTGAAAATAGCAACACGGGGAAGTTTCAGAGGGGAAACCTTTATCAATGAAACGAAAAACTCTGAGTAGTTTGGTTCACCATGAAGAATACCTGATTCAGCCTTCTTTTCTGCAGTTTCTGCAGTGTTCGGTCTGAGGTGAGCACTTTGGAACTACTGTGGGCTTCAAAGTATTCCTCCACCAGGTTGCTCTGAAAAAGCAATAACAAGATCAGCCGCTCTCCCCTGCTATCAAGTTACCCTGTCCCTCTGCACCCACAAACACGTCTCAAGATGACAAATACGAGATATAGAGCAAGGCTGCATAGAAAATCAGAAGTTACTTGCAAAAATGACTTCTACAATAACCTTCTGCCAAAGCCAACCCAGTCAGATGGTTCTCCCCTCCCTGGAGAGGAGAGGGAAGAGTATCCAAGAGAACAGAAGAAGGCAACAGTTTAGAGAGGGTGTGGGGATCCTGGCCGCTGAAGAATTCTGACACAAAGGTAAACATTGAGACAGAAAAGGTGTACTTCTTTTGGTGCAATAGGAGTCTATTTCTTCATCATTTCTCAGTACAATGACTCTCGCCTCACAGACATCTCAGAACTCTTTGTGAAGCTGTTGAGGCTACAGACTGAGTTAGCCCACAGGCTCACACACTATGAGGGTACAGTGAGGATTGCCTGGAAGCACAGCAAAAGCTAATCCAGCTGGTCTGGTTGGAAATGAGTCTGGCAGTTCTTCCCCATATTTAGGCCTGGCCACTGACAGCTTACTGTCACTAAGTATCCCTTCGCTCTTGCTAGCTTGGGTGTGTAATTTCTGCACGCTCACCATCTTGTCCTCCTTCATTTTTCTGGATAAAGTTTTTTTGGGAGGAGGTGTAGCTGCAGCCTTAGTTTTTGCTGGGGTCTTTCGGCCTGAAACAACAGCGCTGGCTTCCTTCTGTTCTTCCTCCTCCTCCTCCTCTGAGCAGGACGCAGAATATTCACTCTCACTTTCTAAATGAGTGTCTGGAGCTAGAGGATAAATTTAAGGTTAAGAGCTATCAATGACTTCTCACACGGAACACATTTTGCACAGTCCCTCTCTCCCACATATGTTCTCTAGAGGTTTTCCAAGCATATGATTCCTAAGCCTACTTAACAGAAAAGTAAAATCAATGGTTAAGAGGACTGCAAACACACCCACAGCCATTTCTTTCCCATTTTGGAATTCAAAATCTTGTTTAGTAAAGCTCTGCCCATTGCTACCAACTGAGAAACACAGTTCTACCCTGAAGAGTGACTAATAAAGGACAATGAAATTCCCTGTTTCTCCTAGTATGTCTATAACAGAGTTTTCCCAAATGCCAATCCTGCAAGCTGTGTGCTGTCTGGGGTCACACGCTGAAAAAAGATTTTGTAAAAGATCTGTGTTAACAATGTTGATTGAAGAGCAATGACAGAATCTGGCTCAGTCTTGCTCTCACAACACAAAACAAGAAACAGAACATGAAATATCATGCACAGAACTCTCCTCAGCACTCATTCTGAACACATATAGCCAACCAGTCATTGGAGATAATTTACCATGAATATCACAGCCATCAATAAAGTTTTAGAACTTAACTTGGTTCAAGTAATTGTGCTAATGCATCTTAACCCTATAGCCTTCACTCCTACACTGCAGCTTGAAGATTACAGACCCCAAAGGCTAAGAGCTATAGCTACTGAAGTGTCAAGCATATGTAGGATTATTCACAGTTTTGCCTCTTCTGATCATGTCACTGAAGTTTAGTAACCCAGTGC